AAAGTCGTAAGGGCCAGTGGGCCCAAAGCGGACAATCTTATGCCATGTAGAGAGTGGGGTGTTACAAGATTGTGAGATCCTGGTGTCCCACATCGGTGAGGGAGGGAAAAGTTGTTGGGCTTATAAGTAAGCCCCTCGCCTTACATGGCATAAGGCCTTTTTCCTAGGGGTACTGGGAGGAACAAATTCGTGAGGGCCAGTGGGCCCAAAGTGGATAATATTATGCCATGTGAAGGGTGGGGTGTTACAAGTGATATTAGAGCCGATCCTCGTTTGGATCAAGTGTGGGTCCCTGTCATGCTCGCGTCCATGTGGGCGGGCAGGTAGCTGGTGAGTTGCTGCACGAGGACGTGCAACCCTAAGGGGGGTGGATTATGAGATCCTGGTGTCCCACATTGGTTAGGAAGGGGAAAGTTGATGGGCTCATTAGTAAGCCCCTCGCCTTACATGGCATAAGGCCTTTTCCCAGGAGTACTAGGAGGAACAAAGCCGTGAGGGCCAGAGTGGGTCCAAAACGAACAATATTATGCCATGTGGAGGGTGGGGTGTTACATGCCAGGATAATCATTGAGTTATTCATTTCTTAGGGAAACCCCTGGTGAGTTTTGCATTAAAACTGAATTTGGATAGCCAAGTGAATGTGAATTCTGTTGAGTAAAGGTTTAAATTGATATTCATTCCATATACACACGAGTTTTGAAAGGAAATGTGTAGGTGCATACCCTAGAATAGCATTTAAAGCTATAAAGAGATTCAAGTGTGATTAGTTTGGGTGTTCGGAGAAAGTTGTCCTTTTTAACAACCTAGAGCTAGTAGGATAAGATAATATTGCTCAAATTTTGGATATGAGAAAGAATTTGGAATACCTTTTTACTCTAGTTTGTGCTTTACTTGATGGTGTTCATTTTGTTTAATTTAGAATTCTATGTCATGTGTTTTGAAAGCATCAAGACTCAAATTGCATCACAATTTCGTAAATGAATTTGGGCCGAGTCATACAACGTGATTCACTAGCATGGATCTTGTCTTTGGGTAGTTGAGTTAGGAAATAGGTTATTAGAATGTTTTGGAGTTGAATAAACTTGGGAAAGGGGAGTGCCAGTGATAATGAGCAAATAGAAAATTGTTTGCAGAAATTGGACTAGCTACCGGTAGAATCCTTACGAGATACCGATAACTATGTGCCTAGAATGGCTAGAAAAGTGGAATGGACAAGTACAGGTAGCAGATTCATGAACTACAGGCAGCCGTTTTCCAAAAAGGTTATCTACCGATAGCAGAGGCATTATCTACTGGTATGTTTTTTCCAGAACAATGAGCTACCGGTAGAAACCTCAAGAGCAACCGATAGCTCGTGCCAGGAATCGCAAAAATAAGGGTCCTTAAGTAAATTTTTTTAGAAAACCCCTTCACTTCTCTCACTCCTCTCCCTGTCAAAAACACTTTCCTCCCTCTCAAAATCCTCCCAACCTTCAAAAAACCTTGGGCATCCTCCATCTTCATCGATTTTCTCCCTCAAGTTTTGATTTCTCTTGATTGCTCTTCACTTCCCTCAATTCCCCTCTCCTCTCCATAAAACACCCACAAATCCATCAAAAGCCAATATCCTCCATAAAAGCCTCGAAACACTTCACTCAAAGCTTAGATTTTTGGACAATGGCTACAATAGGTAAGTCTCCACCTTCTTCTTTTGGTGTTTTTGAGTTATTTTGGGGATGGGTGTTCCCATTCTTTTCCCTAGGGGAACTTTTGGTTTTGATGGACCGTACCACACAAGCGGGTCCTTTCACATTGAAACAAGCTGGCACCGGGTCCTACAAGAGGGTGGAGGAAACTGCACCTAGTGGTGGGGAGCAAAAGAATAAGAAAAGGCATGAACCTCACACGGAGAGCATTGGAATCAAGAATGTGACGTGTGAGTGGCAAGTGGATAGGCCCACCCTTGGGCCACATGATGACGTGGTTTGGGCAATTGGGGGCCATGAGCTACACTTTTGGTTCCAGGCAGTGAGTGGGTATGTGTTTCCCTACTAATGGGAATTTTATCATAGATTTGTAGTAGTGGATGAGGACTTGTGTTTGCTAAAGATGAATGTGAGGAGAAAAGTGATTGAGTTCACTCCGACAGTCATCGCCGAGGCATTAGAGTATCAGAGGCCTTCGATCGACACCCTTGTCTTTTCCCATAACACCCAAGGGAGGAACTCACTCCAAGAGTATGTGAGCCTCATGTATGAGGACCCTTCACAATTCAAAGGGAAAATTTAAGTTGGGGGACTTAAGCATTCCTATGGGGTGATGAATAAAGTCCTCCACTATAATGTTTTGCCTGGAGAGTGGAGACGACACTAGGGGAGTAGAAAATGACCCTCCTCTATGAGTTAATGGCCGACACAAGGATGGACATCGCCTTGATGATTTGGGAGGTGATGAAGGACTATGCCCAGGCTATGAAGCTGAGGGCGAACCTACCTTATGCCCATCTAGTCACCAAGATCTACCATCAGAACAAGGTCAAGGGCATCCCTACCAATGTGACACTCCCGTTTCAATTTGGCCCTATAGGCAAGCCGAGCAACATGAAGAGGACAACTATGACTTAAGGGCCTGGGGAAAGGGAGGAAAAGGCATCTAGGCCATCTCAGGCTGAGCCATCCACAACCGGGCCATCTACTACTGCTCCACCTCTGACGGTCTCTCAATATCTGGCTAGGATTGAGGAGGAGGATTACATAGAGAGTCTTCTCTTTTTTTTCTTTTGTTGATATTTTTAGTTGGTTGTATATGGGGGATAGCAGTCTAGGAGTATCAGCCTGTCAATGGAGAAGAAAAGGATCTCATGATACATGGCTTGGGAGCTCAAGGAACCAAGAATTTCAAGACAAGGAGAGGAGCTACTGGTACCTCCCTTCATAGAGCTACCGGTAGATGAACCTACTGAAAATGAGATATTGGTAGTAGCCTTATGAGCTACCAGTAGAAGACCTTACTGGAAAGTAGCTACTAGTGCCTCCCTGCATGAGCTACCGGTAGCAAACCTTATTGAAAATGAGCTACCGGTTGGAGCTTACGAGCTACCAGTAGAAGATGCCCAGAAAACCCAAATCAGTCTCCAAACAACTCCACCAACTATGGGGGCCCACCTTTTGTCACCTTATCCATGTTCTGACATTTCTAACACTCCATGATGATTTTCTAACCCCTATATCAGATTTTAAGCATGGGGGGAGTGGGTGGCCAATGTAGAGAGAGTGAGTGGAAACAATAAACACCTGTCATCTTTGAAATATGACAAGTGCATTACACAAACCAAATAACATTCTCCTATATGCAAATATACCAAATAGACATGTGAATATCTTTTTCTTTTGGTCATCAAGTGCTATTTTAATTTGGTTTTACCTTGAATAGCTGTCTAGGAAACAATAAAAAGCATACCTTCTATCATCTCTAACACTTGGTCAATGAATGGTAAAGGGAAGTGGTATTTTCTACTCACTGAATTGAGTTTATGGTAGTCAATACACGTGTTCATCCTATGACAACTTGGGTAGGCACTAATTCATTATTTAAATTTTCAACTACTATAACACCATACTTTAGGCACAACTTGGGTAGGGCTGACTCATTTACTATCAAAGATGGAGAAGATGATTCTCGTATTCAACAACTTAAGAACCTCAAATGTATGATTTCTTTTGATAGTGCACAAATCTTTTAGGAACTTGGCATAACAAGGGACTAGTTTAATGGCATTTAAAAGTGGAATGTTGATATTTACTTGCTTAGAAAGCTCATAAATATCAGCATGATTGTTCAATTTTTTGGAGTTTCTTAATTTTTTGGGGAAAGGGAGCAAGTATGGGACAAGGTGGCTCCTCATTCTCTTTAGGCTCAGTCTCAACCGGGGAGACTTTTGTAGGCTCAACCACAAGTGAAGACTGTGTGTGGTGGTACCGCCTTATCTACAACCTTCCCACTTCTAAGAGTGGTGACTGTCTAGACATGTTCATGTGGAAGATCCATAGTCAAAGGGTTACCTATCTGAAATTGACCCTGTGATTGCTTAAGTTGGGCATGAAATTTACCCTTTTCTTGTGTGGTCATGAACTGGGTCAACTTCTGCATGTGAATTTTAAGATTATCAAAAGATGGTGTAGTCTAGGCTTTGAAGTCATTGAAGGCTTTAATGTTTTAATTATTGTAATTCAATTGGACCTGTATGAATTGGTTTAGTGTATCCTGCAGACTTCGTTTTTGGGTTGACTGATACAGTGGGTATTATGGTTGTGGTGGTTCTTGTGGTAGTTGATTGACATGTGATTGTTGTCCATTTCTCCAACTGAAGTTCAGCTATTTTCAACAAAATATTTAGTGTTATAAAATCAAGAAGATATTTAAGAGAGAAAAACATAAAATCTTACAAAAAACAGGTTCTTCAAGAACTTATTATATCAATGTGTTGATCTTCAAAATCACACTCTTTTTCGTTCTTCTCGTATTTCAATCTACTTCGCAAGCCCTTTTATAGGCAGCGAAAATCACAAGTCATTGTGACAGTTATTTGGGAAGGTGGGTAGTTGGGTGGAAAGCTGGGGGTTTGGTTTGTTAATTGCAGTGGAGTAATGGTGGTGGGTGGAGAAATGGTGGGTTTTGTCTCTCTCTCTCTCTAAGTTTCTTTTGGACTATTTCCAAGCAGGCTCCATAGTTCGATATATGATTTCGCATCTATCTTCGAAGAAGCTTCAACTCCTCTGATAAGAATCTTCAAGCAAATTCTAGATTTCCTCCTGCTTCCATTACTTTTCAAAGGATTTGTTAGGGGTGGGTGATATTACCATTTTCTGAAAGATTTGAACCTTTTTTGTGCCAAATTTTCGAAGTACAAGGAAATATAATGGTTAAGGTTTTTACAAGGTCGATTAAATAAGTCTATTTCGTGGACTAAACACGTTGGGGGAGGGGGAGAGCCTGAGAGAGAGAGAGAGAGAGGATTAATTAACTCAAAACAACAGGATGCTCATAATTAAACAAAGAAATATTGATTATCCACATTAGCTTCCTCAACTTATCACTTGCACAGCTCTAATACATTGGGGGGAAAGTTTAGACAACTCAACCAGACATCATATTTAAGGTAAACTACGTACATACAAAGCCACATATGTGCTTAAGCAAGACTGAAAGAACTGGCAGCGCTCTCAACATACTTTCTTGCTCCTTTAAACCATCTCTTGTCTCCAGCTTGTGCCTTGCAGATATAAAGCTTCCCGTCCGATACTGAGGCTGAAATCAGTTGGTGCCTGCCACCTTCAGTTCCATCAGCAGTCCTTGTCAAAACAGACAAGAAGTAGTACGGTTTCCCCCCGATAACCGGAGTTGAGGTCTCCAATATGTTAGCTGTTGCCACCACATCAGGCTCGAATCCGCCCTGAGCAATTCGGGTTCGCATTCCACAAGAATGAATACATGTACCTCAATATTGTCGCACTATGCATGCAGTGATTTTAGACGTCAAGCATATGTTTCTTACTAAGAAAATGAAACACATTGGAACCCCTCAATTGTATCTTCTTTCTCATATGTCCCCTCAAGTATCAAGTTTTTCACATTATACCTCCAACTATAATGATTGGTTTCACACTGCTCCCTCAACCAAATTTCACATTGTACCCATACTATGACTATTGCATTGTTCCCTACTTCTTAGGTTTAAAAACCATATTGTACTACACATTTATTGTGGGGTAATGTGAAACCAATTGAAGTAGGTAAGAGGCCAATGCGAGAAATCCCATAGTTGAGAAGCAAAGTGAGTTGGTGGTTAAAGTGTAATTACTAATTCGCCCTCAAAAAAACAGCCAAAACCTAATTCGCGGCAGGTTCCCCCAAACAGTTCGGGGAAAAACATCCGGAAGACTATTGTTGTGGTGTTTTTCATTGTAGTAGTCCATTAAAACTGTTTTGAGTAACATAAATATTGACCCAATTGTTAGAGCATCTCCAACCCACCCTCCATTTCTTCTCTTTTAACTATTTTAGCTAGCCAAACACAAAAAATCCTCTTCAATCTATACTCTCTATGCCACTATTTATTTCCCATTTCACCCAAATAGCTCTCCAAATGTGGAGAGTCATTTAACCTCTCTAAATTCTCTTTCTACCTCTTTCTCTCTATCTCTCTCTATAAATATGTTGTATTCCTTTTAAATTATTGAAAGTTAGTGAAAATTGGGTAAAGTAGTTAGTTAAAATAAAGAGTGTGGCTGGAGTGAATTTATAAAAATAACTAGCTAAATTAAAAAATATAATATTTAAATATATTTTGATTAGTTATATTGGAGAGCTGGGTTGGAGATACTCTAACATAGCCAAAAAAAAAAAAAACAACTTTTTAGCTAGTTAGGTACATTACCTCTGCTTCAGTTTTGCCGAAGTAAGCTTGTTTCCCCAACAAGTAGTCCACCTGCAAAGACTCAGATCAACACTCATTTTACCTATTGTCAAATGGCATCATGACAGGCATGCTTGGATGTAAGTTTTTGCATGTTAATAATCGATAATTAATTCAAATAATGAAAAATAGGAGCATTTCCATAATCTTATAGTTTTTAATTTTCATCAAGGGTGTATTGAAATTTGGTGAGATGAGAAAGAGAAGACTACCTTAGAGAAGAATTCCTCAGGGGAACCATAGTCGGTGATAGATTTTTTGTCGGTGGGAGTGACCATGACAGATACATTGGTAGTGGAATCAAAGTTGTCTTCGTATCTCAGAACCTGACCAGGGTACTCCACCTCCTTGCTCTTGCTCCATTTTGCAGGAATTGATAGCTTAAATCCATCTCCATTGTAAGGCAAGAAATCCGTATTTGTCTTCGGCTTCCCAAAAATATTGGCTGTTATTAACCGTCACGCCCATAACATCAATATCAGAACCACTAATGACTGCAAGTTTCATCATGCCTTTTATGCATCGAACAGAGCAGACACGAATGCATAAATTCAGGATATGCTATGATCTTTGTGAGCATATCTTCACTTCATGAGCTAAATTTAAGACATGTCTTCGCCTTTTCGTTCAAAGAGAAATTGTCCATTTCGGTCCTAAACTGTTATCGCCTATTTTTGTCCTAATCAAGAGTGCCGAGAAAGCTGGAAACCCTGTAATGACTAAAGTCCTAGTATTTTCTTACACCTGGACTCGCACCTCCCAATTGTTAGTAAGACGGTTAATGAATTAACCGTTTGGTAATTTTCTTTGAAATAGAATTTTTAAAGTGAAAATAATTTCATCAAAAAAATAAAAAGTAAGTTACTATTTTGTAAAATGTATATAATAAAGATAAATGTTATTTGGACAAAAAATAATGACTCGCTTTGCTAACTCGCCCTATCACAACTATTAAATAAATAGTAGATTCTAATAAATATCGAGACCCATAATTAACTCCTTCTGTTAATATTTTTTATACAACTAACATTGATTTGTAATAAAACATAACATAAGATACAACAACAGTCCAAGTAATTTAGATTTGAGGACTTGTATTATTACTTATATTTAAACATTTTAATCACAGTAAAAAAACGTGGTTTGTGGAGGGATAATTTGATTTATTTATACACATCTCAATATATAGAAATAATATATTCAAACTTATCTATATGGATACAGCTACAGATATTAAGCTTGGAGCGAGTAAAATTGTACTCAGCAAAAGGCGAAAAAGTAAATTTATAAAATAAATGCTTCTTGAAAAAGCATTTATAAAAATACTTCAAAGAAAATAATCGAAACATAAAAACGTACTTGAAAAAAGTCTATGTAAAAACTATGGTCTTACTGCCTATTTGTTTATCAGGTTTGGCCAGGGCGGTTTCGGAAAGATGGTTTGAGAAGATACTTCGATAAATCACTTATTTCTATGTTTTGATAGGATTTTTAAATTTAAAATTCATATTCCGACTGGGTTCTAGCCCATAATGAAAAGTATATTTCGACTGGGTCCTAGCCCATAATGAATAGTACATTGAAAACTAAGTCCGCAGGTTTGATGAAACCGGGGTGAGTTTCAAAAGTAAAAGATTGAATTGGAAAATAAGAAAATTATTTTATCCAAAAAAAAATTATTCATTTATTTATCTAATAATAAATATTTTAATAAATTAAGTAATATAATTTAACATCAATTCATAGAGCCACGTATATTTATGTCCCATATGATCATCCAAAGATGCCCGTAGTATGTTGATCACTTTAAATAAAAGAGATAAAAGACACTTATATGTACAAAGAAATACCAGCTTCTCCGTAAGCTGCATCGGCGGGTGAAACCTTAGAGCCAATGGCTGCTGCACCAATAAGAACCCTGAGAGCCAACCTACGAGAGACAGCAACATTGCCGTCATCTTGTTGCACCGCCTGCTTCAGGGCGGCACGGCAGATTAGCTGATTGGGCTTGGTGGCTGCCACATAACGCTGTGTTGAAGATCTAGTTGGGGTGGAGAGTACATGGTGGTGCAAGAAGCATGTTGTGGAGGCCATTGTTCAACCTCAAGTCTCAGTCTTTGTGTTCTCTTTTGTTCTTTCTTTGTGTTTTGAATGAAGTGTGGGGAGTGTGTGATAGGTGTTCCTTAGTGATCTGTGAAAGATAATGGCTGGTTTTGGATATTGGATGTGGAAAGTGTGTGATCGGAAGATTAGATTAGAGATGCGGGATAAGTTTCTGGAGGCTCTGATTGGAACCACGTGGCATTAAGAATTCTGCTCAGGGTCAGCTGGAACACTAGGCTTTCAAGCCGCTCTCTTAGGGCCCCAGTTTTATAGATGGCCCCATATTTTGTACATGTCTATACTATATCCCAAATCAAAATTCCATGCTCAATTGTCTAAGCAAGAAAAGTTTACAATAATTGTTATACCATCAATTGTTAACAATACAAAAAACTTAGAGTGTATTTGTTAACCCAAATTTAACATTTAAAATGAATGTATTCAGCATTTATTAATGAAGTCCGTTTGATAACCAAAATGTAAATTCTTTTAATATGTTTAGTGCTCCTTAAAAATAAGCCACAATATTAAGTAAAAGATCTCTTATGCTCTGTTTGGTAGGAATGATGGAAAGTATGAATGATACACTTTCCTTCCTTTGTGTTTGATTGGATTGATGGAAAATAAAAATGAATAATTGTTTTTTAATTTTTTTTGTGATGACTAGGATTAGGGTTGACAATCGAGTCGTGTCGTTTCAGATTCGTGTTGAGTCATAAAATTATGAGTTTTTTATATTTCTTGTTTGCGTGTCAGGTCATTTTCAAGTTCGTGTCGAATTATAATTAAGTTCGTGTCATAAAATTTGTGTCAAGTTCGAGCCGTGTCATCGTGTTGGGTCGAAATTTTCACCCCTAGTTAAAATTAAAAAAAATATTTTTATTTTTAATATATATATATATAGTCAAATAAGATACATCTTAACACAAATAATTAATTTTTCATCTACTTTCTTTCCGATTTTGGAGGAATTGATTTTGGTAAGTTGGAAAGAAAGTTAATCTATCAACTTTTTCATCATTCCTATTTTCCTCCTTACCAAACATGATGTTTTATCTATCCCTCAAACTTTTCATCCTTCCATTTTTCTATTGTACCAAACGGAACATTACTTCATTCTAAAAGTTGGAAGCACTCAGCAAAATCTCTTTAATAATATTTACAATATGACAATTATGCCTAAAAATATTTTATAATCCTATTAAAACTTTAATTAGTCTTCCCTTAAATCCCCTAACCTATCTATCCTCCTAACCAATCCTCTTCTTCGGCAGGTAACAGGTAAGGTAAGTTTCTTCCTTCTCTTCTTCTTCTTTTTTTTCCTTCCCTTTCCCACAAAAGTATATATATATATATAATTACACACGCACACATGCATTGCACATACACATAATTATACACACCTGCGCGCATGCACTGCACACATAGTTACACACACACCCCCACAGTTTAACAGTCACACACACACACACACATTATGCACACACACGCCTTTTATTGTTCTTTTTTTTTTAATATTTTTTGATTATTTATTAGTTATTGATCTTCTTTTTTTTATCAGATGTTATTGTTTACTTATTGTGTTGTTTAATTTGTTATTATTCAGTTGTTGTGATTGTTCACTTATTGATAAAAACATATTTTATAAATAATTTTAAATTAAAGAGTGTAAGGGTAAAACTGAAAATTAATTTATTTTCAGACGTCAACTCTGTGTAGTTATCAAACAGTTTGGTTCAACTCAGTACTTAAATTTCAGTGGGTACAGAACAATCCATGAATTCAAACTTCAACTTTCAACTTTTACCTTTCAAACTCCAGCTTTCAATTTGTAGACTTCAACTTTCAGTTTTATCAAACACCACCTTAATTAGTAACTTTATATCTTCAATCATGAGGCAACTACATTGTAATTAATAAAATATAAAAAAATCTCAATTTTAATTATTTTTTTAAGTCTAAAACTATCTTGAGTCAATCCTAATTGTTAATGTTTATATGTTTATCTTTGTCCCACCTTGGTTAGATTAGGATACTTTACTATTCTCTTGTAGTATAAATACACCTCCTTATGAATATGAAAAAGTTAACCAAAGCAATATTCAATTGATATTCGCTATCTATTATCTTCTTTCACATGGTATCAGAGCCTAGACTCGTGAATCCTTCTAGCCAAGGATACCATGTTATGTGGTTGCCTTACAAGAGATCTTGCACATCAGCACTCTTAAGGCTCTTCCTCTTCTGGCCATCCTTCGGCAAACTTCCAACAATCCTCCAGCGGAGTTCTGATCTGCTTTGGCCATCCTCCGACAAACTTCCGATCTACTCTGGCCATTCTCCGGCGAACTTCCGATCAATTTCAACCATCCTCTAGCGACTTTCTGATTGTCTTCCGGTGAAGTTCTAATCACCTCCCCACCATCCCCTATCAACCTCTAACTATCCTCCGGCAACTTTTCAGTCACCCTTTGACGACGTTCTGACCTGCCCCTAAAACCAAGGGCCCTTTGTCAACTCGTTGATAACCCATTAACACTGCATAACTACCCATGAACACTGCATAACCTAACATCAAGGCACAACATCCCCTTTACCGGGATCACAAACCACACAAAGTTTAGACAGTCTCCCTTGTATCGGGCACTCCCAAATGCATAATATGTATATCATTCAATCACATGACCCTTCCAAGGTTCAATATATCTGAATTCATACTCAATTTACATCATTTGAACAAAAGGACTCAAGACTCGAAACATATCAAAAGCATTCTTAAAATTTGAAATTTTAGGAAAACCTACCAGTAGAAGATGTCCATGTTCTACCGGTAAGAAAACCTTCTTAAAAAGTTTTATCGGTGGGAAAACATTCTGGAAAAGTTCCACCAATAGGAATGTCAATGTTCTACCGGTAGAAAAGTCTACTGAAAAAGTTCTACCAGTAGAAGAACCCATCGTTCTCCCGGTAGGTCTTTCTAGTTTTTTCTTGATTCCATCCTTTTTCGATTCCAATTCATTCCAACCTTATACAACGTCAACCCAAACTCATATAACCTCCATTTTAAAAACAATATAGTTCATATGAGTTCTTTTACAATCATTTACATACAATTACATGTTCAAAACTAAATAACATAATAGTTTTTGCAAAACATGATTTAAAAGCCACATTTCGGCTTTTCTTCAACAATGAGGGCCCAAATGAGGGCCGTCCACCTGCGTTTGTCCCACATTTGAAATGTTATCCCTATAAAGAGTGAGTCACGCTCAATAGGGTATCTCTTAAAGAGGCTACTCTCCAACCTAGAAGCATATGAAATGTTCACAAGCAATTCACAAGTAACAATCACTCCATTCAAGAATATATAATTCAACAATGGAATTCTCTATGACATGCCATGATATAAGATGAAACTCACACATGCAACTCAACTCAAGCCTTTACTGGCTCCCATAACACATGCAATGTCATGATTTTGAAACCGGGCATTCCAAACCCTCGCCATTAATGTTGAACATCTAATGACCTTTTAAAAATAGACCATGTGTCTTTTTTAGGTATTCGAATTTTGGAATCTCACCGTCGGTTCCACACATTGATACACGTTTTTTGACTTGCACCTTCGGAAGTGTATAAACCAATAACTGGGTCTTGCACCCGAGAGAGTAACTAGCCCTTCTTGCTACACCCGACACAACTTTTTCATGCAACCGTGCAACTCAGCCAGACCTAGGTCCAACCATCCCGAGTCCACGCCTCAACCACTTAGAATGGTGTTTGATTCAAAAACACGAACACACACCCACACTCATGTCAAATGCCCACGAATGAAATATTTTTCGTGTATATGCAGTGTACAATTGCAATTTTCAATACCAAGTTCAATATGTAATATGAACATTATGAACAACTTCAATACCCATCAACATTGTCCATGGTAAATTACATCATAAGCATTTAACTACCATTAACAATCTCAATGTCAATGTATCATATATATATACCAACATTTCCCAACATCAAATTCTAAGCATGTTATAACATAATCAATGCAAATAACACAGTTAATCCACATAGGCATTTAATCAAACACCATAAAGGCACAAAATCATGTAACACATAATATGCCCAAAACATAACATTTCTCAAGAAATCATAACAAGTAATTTCTACATACCCAATTCGTGCTAGAATTGATTTTAATTAATACCTATTTTCCACATTTCAAATATCATATGTAAGTGTTATACATGACATTACATATCTAACATCCTACCCATTCCATATATCAACCCTAGGTTGGAAATAACCTAATTAGGAAAAGAACAATATCTCTTAAAGTGTAAAACAAGTGGTAGAAGCCTTCAAGAACCCAAATCAAGCCTAGCCCTTGAATTCCCTAAATCTCACCTTTTGAACTTTGTCAAAATCTGTGTTTTTTGGTATGTAGGTGTAGTTCTCATCGTGTAGATAAACTTTGATTCTTAGCTCAAGTTGATTCAATGAACGTGGAGCCATAGATCATAGAGAGAAGTTGAAGCAACACCTTGATCTTCCCTCTCCTCTCTTTTTCCAAAATAGCTGGCCCAAATGGGGATAAAATCAGATTTTCTCTCTTATTTATACTCCTTATTTGCTTGGCTCTCATTGAGCCACGTTCACCTTTTTGGGGTCCAATTTTGTCCCGAATCAATTAAATTGTCCCGATTCAAGTTTAAAATATTTTTATTTGAACTACCTTTAAATTATTATCCACTTTTGGTGATTTAATTCCCGATCTCATTTATTTAGGTCACGCGACACTCTTTCGTCTCGTAAAATGTAAAAAATTCTACTATCTCAAAATTCAATGAAAACTATCTAAGTAATTAGATTTCACGAGACAAATTCAATGGTAAGGTCCGTTTAGTCATCTAAATTCTAGAAAAATTTAGATTTTCAACCCATATCGTAGTGATAAATTAACGTTTTGTCCTTTTTCATAAAAATTCAAATTTACCCGGATTTTACATTCTTCCCCCATTAAAAAGAATTTTGTCCTCGAAATTCACACACACATGCACATTCAACCACTTGCATATGCAACAATCATATAATACTGAATGACTACAAGAATGTACCTACATCCTTAAACATGAATAGATAAGTGGTATGTATAGTGTCTTCATGCTCCCATGTCCCTTTCTCCACACCTCGGTGCTGTCACAACACCTTCACCAGTCTCACAGTATTGCCTCATAAAA